CCTCCCCAATTCCTATGACGTATGGCTATGTAAAGTAAAATTATTTTCAAATGCTACTCAAACGATCGGAAACTTACTAGTACGACAGATCGGAAATGGCTCCATTTTTGAAACCACTTACTTTTCGAAGTCATAACTTCATGCCCACAGCTCCACTTTGTATGAAATATATTTCAATGCGTCCTGATTTTTCGGGGCCTTAAATAAAAGTGCTTATGGTTCCGCCGAAATATCAATAGTACATGAAGAAATTTGACTTGTGCACATTTTGGTACTTAAATAGATTTCAAATTGATTTTGTACAGTTATAATCCATTTAATACACCTTGTTCGTAAATTTGTGTTGCACATGGAGTCAGCTATTTATATTTTCGCAACGATCGAATTTATATCATAAGTCTCATGTTGCCACCTCAAAAATGCCAGCGCTTTGGGATTTATTAAGCTTAAAAGATTGTCGCTGGCATAATTCAATGACTGCGCATAATATTTAAATTAATGTTCATTTGTTTTAACCAATTCACTTAAATGGTATAATAACTAACCTCAATCAGTATGAAAAGAATTAAAGTTTCTTACAAAACAGCTTATGCTCGAACTGCAATCTTTTACGTGTCACAAATTGCTACAAGTAGGTGAGCGGCGCCTAATTCGAGAAAACTAGTCGGAGGCACAAGAAAAGCTTCATCCGAATTTGTTTGAATTGGTTTTTTTATTTAGACTGTCTGTCACAAATGAGACCATTGTTTGAAAAAACTACTTTTACCAACCAATTAATGTTCGCTTCAAGTCGCACTCGATATTTACAGAATAAAGTGGTGGGCAAAATCTCACGTTGGTCAAAACGATAAGTACTTGCGATATTTATTTATTGAGTGAGGAAAAGTGAAAATTTCAGTTTTATTTCAATATTTTTTGACTGGACACTGTGAACAACTCGTTAGGAAAGCTTCACAAATTCTACATTAACTCCACTACACTATTGAGTCTTCTAAGTAAATTTTTAAGGAGCACATTTGATTTTTTCGCAACCATTTAACTCTAGGTTACTGCGTTTCATGATGAAACGACTTTCTTACTAGTTGGCGCAAGAAATCAACTGTGACTTACGAACATGCTAGGCTGAGTGACGGGCCTCAGGATTGAAGCTCTTTGTCTGTTTAAGAGTCCACTAATTATTACTTTCTATTATTATCAAATGAAGGCTGAGAATATGAGAGAAGTAGACTAGCACAAAACACTAACCCACAAAAGACAAGAGTCAGTAGAAGAAATAGTTAAAATAAATTTTTGATAATAAGTGAATTTATATAGCATTTAAAGCCATTCACCTTTTGTAACTTTAGGGATTCTACAGAACATTAGAAATAAACTCCAATCATAGGCAAATTTAAAGCCGAATCTCCAAGGGGATTTGAAAGTAGGCACCGTTCCTACATTATTTTTAATTGTAATAATTTAGCTGACCTAAATAAAATGTGCTTCGTTTTTTCCCAACGTTATTTCGGCATTCGGTTTGCTGAAAAAGATTACGATTCTATTGGCTGCAGTTTAGCAAGACGAGGAATTAGAGTGCAAGATATGATTGGCTGTATCTGTTTGTAATGCTTCATGTGATTCGTTGCTCGATGCTCTCAATTCTGATTGGTTCACTGCGAGTCTTTATAATGGGCATCTCTAACTTAGCCACTTCAACCTATGTCACTATGGTGCCGTCAACAACGGAAGACTGCCAAATTACTCGCGGCCGACTTGCTTCTCTTTTTGTGCCCTCCACAACACAGGATTTAAATAATTACTCGTCATCGTCCAACTCTGTGGATTTATCCGAACCACAAAGACGAAGGCTCAAACGCAGAACCTTGATGCCTCGATTCATTTGCAATGCTAGGGAGAACTCGTTAAACTCTACTGTGTCAGCCGACTCTAATGAGGCGCTAAATCTTCCTTGGAGTGGTTGGCGTAGACGCCGCTCCTCGTCGAAAGGATCGTATGAGTTGATACATGAATCCCATGAATTGGTAAGTCTTGTCTACTGCTTAAAACTGGCACTCATTTTGCGCATGAGGATAGATGTTCAACTGCGTATATTTCTGGAAAATCAGGTCTCTAAGATCTACTTGATTTACTTTCAGGATAGTCAAACTCAAACGGAGAAAGAGAATGTGCCAGCATGCAAGTTTGTTCCACCTCGAATTATGTCACGTCCGAGAGTACTATCCCTCCGTTCTCGCAAAAGTCTCCATGCAGCAGCTTTACGCCAACACGTCATTGAAGAAAAGCGACTTATGGAGCCATCTTTAGGTAATCATCATACTCCCCTCCTCCCCCCCTCCCCCCAACCACATTTCAGTCTTTTAGTTTCAAATATTTAACATTTCACAGTTCGCCTTTACTTTACTTCTTTCAGTTAATAATATGGCAAAAGCACCCAGTACGGAAGAAATTTCCAAATGCAAATTCCTCCTGCCCATGTTGCGTGGAGTTGTAAACGCCTTCGTCAACAAAAAGAACGCTAGAGGTGAGAAAGCGCCTCAATATTCTTCAATGATGAAAGATCCACCTGACTTCAGTGAGTATAACCAGCGTGATCCTGTCTTTGGTGCTGCCTTAGAGGATCAAATTTCTAGTCCCGATTTCCCAGTATGTGATTTAATTGATTGCATTTTTTTCCTTTGCTTACGTATTCCTGGTATCTATTTATCTCATTGTTTAGAACGTTCCACTTGTTTTGCAAGCAACAATAGCAGCGCTAGAATCCCGCGGTCTTCATTTTACTGGATTATACCGAGCTCCTGGAAGACAAAGTGAAATTGATCGATTCGTTTGTGCCTCCAATCTCGTAAGTTGTTTACTTCGTCCCTATAATTTAAGATCTAACTCTATTGATAACCTAACGCTTGCCTTTATTTTAGTCTGTCCTCAATCCTCATTACATGCTTTCTCTACCCACATGGAATGATATTAAAGCTTTGACTGGGGTCATCAAAGTGTTTCTTCGTCGTCTGCCGGAGCCTATCTGCGATCCTTCATCGTGGGCACAACTAGCCGACACACTTCCCGAAAAAACGGAAGGAATGAATAAATCTTCCCTTTTCGCAGCTCTTAAGAGTATACGCTCGAATCTTATTAAGGTAGTGTATATTAGTTTGTTGTGCAAATGGAAGCAGTTAAGTAAGAATTTCCAAGGCGTACGTATGATATATGACCTTGAATGGCTTCTTCCTATTTAAGTTATTTGTCATAATTGTCCATATTTCTCCCATTCAACTCAACTGTTAGCGAAGTCTATAATTCTCCATTTCTACAGGACCGCTCCACGTCATCGAAGAAATGGCAATGGCGCTTTGCAACTTTAGATTTCCTCTTCACTCACCTCCGACGGATCGTGGCCCTTGAAAAGGTGAACTATTGTAGCTCGAAGTGCATCGCAATTTGTTTTGGGCCGTGTTTATTTAATGCGGATTTGCGAAGTCAGGCAAAATTCAATGTGGTAAGTAACGTTGTTTCTTTTAGTGGCTGATCATTTGGTGATTCTAAATTTTTCCCTTCTTTTTAGTTACTGGAATTAATGCTGCAACACTGGCCCTGGTTAAAGGCAGAGTTAGATAAGGAATTTCCCTCACATTCCCAACACATCGGAGCCTATATAGAAGATTTCCTTGAAAATGGTCCAGACTTTAGCCAGGATTTCAACGCATATGCTAGCTTGAAGTACGCAAGATCGACAGAAGAGGTTCTTGATATCGTTAAAAGAATCTTGGAGAGCGCCCAACAAAATGAAGTTGGCCAATGATCCCAGCATTTTCTTTGCAAGGCTCTTCCTCCGTCCTCCCCCCACCGCTATCATCCCCACCTCCCCATCCCCTGACAATTGTACAGTTTTTGTAGTTGAAATAAATAACAATTTTCTACGTCGTTCTCCTGAGCGTACACTACCTTATCGACCTCAATGAGTTCTCGTGGATGTAATGGTAGGATATCAGACTACTGTTGTAAGTGGAGAACAGTGGACTAGCAATATTTTCTATTCCTTATCCTGACTATCAAGATAGCGTAATATCGTGCTTATCAAGAAATATCACAAAGTTGAGGTCAAACCATCTTTTAAAGATTTTATGAAATAAAATTAAGCCAATAGACTACTTTAGTCATTGTCTCTTCTGCTAATGAATCGTTCAGAATTATTGAGTGCAATAGCTTTCTGTAATGAAAGCGTTCTCTTTAAAATTGAAGTAATCAATACCACACTGTTGATAGTTTAACCACGTGATGACTATTTCCAGGACCGTATGCTCATGTTCGCATTGACTGTCGACGACAGTAACCTTGAAAAAGGGAGTTCGAGCCCATTCCTTCGAACATAAGCCTTGAGCACACAGTAGTCGTAGACGGCATGTGATTTGCTAAGTGCTTCAGTCACTTTGGAATAACAAATATGCGAAATAATATTGATTCGAAAATTTCAACTCTTTTTTAGTCATTTATTGTCAACGTCAGTAATTTATTCAATCCTTCTTGGTACGGGGTAAACAATTTTGGCAAGATAGGCATTCGGAAACTTACTAACTTAGCAAAAAGAATTGAATTAACGAATCTATCTATTTGTGATCCAAATTAGTAGAAGAGGCACCAATGAATATACTCTTATTAGGGCATTATGAGCAATGAGTAAAAGTCAAAACAATGTTGTGCTATTTCTACTTGAAGAAGTTAAAGTACCTTTCACATTTTCATCATAAGGAAATGTGCAGGGACACAAATCAATGGATTAATAACCGTTGGGCTGGGAAATGAACTCACAGATTCAACCCACCCCATTACTGTAATCCGAATATGAGAGCTTGATGCATCATTGCGCTTTTCATAATCTCGGCGTTTGTTTAATGGTTACAAGTCAAAACAACGCAGTGCAGTTTCAAGTTGCAATCTACTAATTACTCATCAAATTATTTGAACAGGTTGGCGGAAGTGGATGTGAATGTGTGAGACAACTTCGTGATTTCTAATGCTTCAAGCTATTTAAATTCTCCTCGGTTTTTAAGGACAAATTGAAAATTTCTCCGGTTACTAAGGTCTGATTTCCAAATGAGATAAGTATATTGGTTAATGTTCCGGCCAACACCCCAGTTACTAGATTATCTACTGCACACTACAATCAAACCCTCCCTTGATTAGTTTCAAATCATTTCAGTATTCGATATTATACGATATTATTTAATCAATCTGAAAGTGGAATGCTCTTCATTCACATTGGAATCTTATTTTTAATGTGTTTTTCCACTCCATTGATCTGATAAATTGCATCTACTTCAAATTAACTCATTCCTACTTGGAATCCATTTGAACTATGCTGCCAGGCTTCATATAAGAAGTGTTTCATTTAAATTGCAACGCTTAATATATTTTATCTATTGGTGAGAAATCAATATTAAATTTGAACTAAAACCGACCGGATTACGACTAACTTAACACAAGTCTTTTACTATAAGAACTTAAATACCCTCATTTACAATTGTAGAGAAGTCTTTCTCTAAGCTAAACTTGGAGTAATTTTTTTCAACTTTCACAAAATCGCTTATTTTACCATTGCATATCCTTATCAGAAGATTCTAAATGAATCTAAAGCCTTTCTAAGAATTGTCAAAGTTATTAGATTCAAGTTTAACATCTCATTAATGCGCTTCGGTGGCTCATTTGCCTGTAGCCTCTAGACGAATGGCCAACCGCACAACTTGAATCCACGTATTTTAGGGTGGTAAAAGAATTCGATCGCCCACTGGTGCGACCACCCCAAGGGGAAAGTTGGAAAAAGCGTTCCCATGCGAACATGGTAATTAAAATTCCATTTAAACCCACATAACGTCTCTATCAGGGGGTGTGCGATAGACTTACCTCCACGTGGTGCACCCTGGGCAACGTATACTCATACGGCGAAAAAGTCTTTTACCTGGCAGTTGACTTCTGACTTCAAACTACCATAGCCCGACTGCTTGTCATATTCAACCCCTTCAACAGCACTCATCTTGCCTTTTTCTCTACCTTTGTGTCTGTCTGCCTCTTTTACATCTGTGAATCGCTCTTCTGCTCCCCTTCCTCGACTTTCTACTACTTTGATGACCCTTCCCTCTGTGAAGCCCGAAGTCAACTAAAGGGCTAATGATAGCTATCATAACGCCTGCCATTTGAAATAAATAAATAAAACGTCTCAATCAGGTGTGGATAGTAAATACTCTAAGCAATACTGCTGTCTAGTGGGTAAAATAGGTGGAAGAATTTCATGCAAGCATCTCCCGCCTTAAATCTTATTATGTCCTACACTTATTTGAATTTCAGGAACAGAATGTTTTGAGTACTATCCCTTACTTCAAAACTCTGCCATAGCAACATTGTTTCTTTCCACTGCTAACAATCTGATATAAGTAACTTAAGTTACCCTAAGAAGTATTTTTAAATCAACAACCGAAATTGATGTCAAGAGCAAAATAAAGGTGAGTCGACATTAACGAGTCATTAGACTCCCTATGGAGAAGGCTTTAGACCGCGGTGTAAAGCCATCTGTGGGAACTTAAAGCAAATGAGGTTGAAGGTCATAGAACTTAGTAGGCTGAAGTGGATGAAAGGTCAAGATGAAGGCAGCAGAGGGGGGACAACTTTCCTTGACCTAACAGCCGCTTAAGAACACATGGCGCAATCGGGCGTAAAATAAGAGGCCAAATGGATAGCCCCCCCCCCCCCCCCCGCCTTGAATACTAGACAGCATACTGGGAATTTGGCGCAACCAGCTGTCCGAGATTGCATAAATGCCAAATTAATGCGGTCAATGAGCCAATCCAAGCGTAGTGTTTAGCCATGAAATTAGTGAAGTAGATAATCTACTCACACCATAAAGAGTTTTAACCGAACTAATCTTTGCATACTAAATTGGTGTAGGCAGAGATAGCTAGGCATTAAATTTATTTATTTATTTCAAATGGCAGGCGTTTTGATAGTTATCATTGGCCCTTTAGTTGACTTCGGGCTTCACAGAGGGGAGGAGGAACATCAAAGTGACAAAAAGTCGAGAGGGGGGACAGAATAGTGACTCACAGATGTAGCAGTGACAGACAAAAAGGCAGAGAAAAGGTAAGATGAGTACTTGGGAAGGGGTCGAATATGGCATACAGTGGGGTGATGTTAGTTTGAAGTCAGAAGTCAACTGCCGGTTAATAGACTTTGGCAGTTTGAAGTACCAGTCAATAGACTTTTTTCCGCATAAGTATACGTTGCCCAGGGTGCACCACATGGAGGTTGTAAGTACACGTTGCCCAGGGTGCACCACGTGGAGGTATGCCGTTTGAGTATACGTTGCCCATTGGTTTATAGACTTGTTTGCCGTATGAGTATACGTTGCCCGTCAATGGGGTGATGGTAGTTTGAAGTGAGAAGTCAACTGCCACAATGGGGTCATGGTAGTTTGAAGTTAGAAGTCAACTGCCTTTAATAGACTTTTTTGCCGTATGAGTATACGTTGCCCAGCGGTTTATAGACTTTTTGCCGTATGAGGTCTGTTGCCCAAATATGACATACAGTGGGGTCATGGTAGTTTGAAGTCAGAGGTCAACTGCCGGTTTATAGACTTTTTGCCGTGTTAGGGTTAGATCAACTGCCGGTTTATAGACTTTTTTGCCGTATGCGCATACACAATGACATACAGTGGGGTGATGGTAGTTTGAAGTGAGAAGTTGTGACATATAGTGGGGTGAGGGTAGTTTGAAGTCAGAAGTCCACTGCCGGTTTATAGACTTTTTGCCGTATGAGTATACTTTGTAACATACAGTGGGGTCATGGTAGTTTGAAGTCAGAAGTCAAGATGTCAACTGCCGATTAATAGACTTTTTTGCCGTATGAGAAGTGATAAGTCAACTGCCGGTTAATAGACTTTTTTGCCGTATGAGTGGGTTGCCCAGGGTGCACCGCGTGGAGGTAAGTCTATCGCAACAACTGCCGGTTAATAGACTTTTTTGCCGTATGAGTATACGGTGCCCAGGGTGCACCACGTGGAGGTAAGTCTAAATATACATTGCCCAGGGTGCACCACGGAGGTAAGCCGAATGAGAATACGTTGCCCAGGGTGCACCACGTGGAGGTAAGGTGTAGTATACATTGCCCAGGGTGCGCCACGTGGAGGTAAGACCGTATGATTATACGTTGGCCAGGGTGCACCACGTGGAGGCCGTATGTACCTTTTGCGGTATGAGTATACATTGCCCAGGGTGCACCACGTGGAGGTAGCCGAATGAGAATACGTTGCCCAGGGTGCACCACGTGGAGGTAAGGTGTAGTATACATTGCCCAGGGTGCGCCACGTGGAGGTAAGACCGTATGATTATACGTTGGCCAGGGTGCACCACGTGGAGGATTTTTGCCGTATGAGTATACGTTGCCCAGGGTGCACCACGAGGAGGTAAGTCTATCGCACACCCCGCTAGGCATTAAATAAACGTCAAATAAGTGGAAAACGGATGGAAATGATAACGCCACATTTGAACACGAAGAATTCAGGTATGAGAAATTCTATGTTTTATCAAATGGCATGCTCCACGATAGTAATCATTAGCCCTCTACTTGACTTCAGGCTTAACAGAGGTGAGAAATATCACAGTCACAAGGCATCGAGAGATGGAAGTGAGAGTGATTCACAGATGTATAGAGACAGATGGACACAGAGGTAAAGAAGGGGGGAGGATGAGTACTGTGTAAGTAGTCAAATATGACATACAATGGGGTCATGGTAGTTTGAAGTCGAAAGTCAAC